ATAAATATTAGATACAGGATTTAAAACGGCACGAGGGTGAGAAAATTGTGAATTTAAATGTTTGGGTTTGTAAGTTATGTTCAATATTGTTACAAAGTGTATGCACTTTGTGCTTTAAGTTTTTTACGGCTTTTGTTACAGTATTGTTACAATATTTTTGATAAATTGCTCTTTGATAAATTGCTTGAGCTTGTCTTTTCTCATTTGTAAGTTGAGTTGTAAGTGTCTGCTAAATGGTTAAATGTACTAGATAATTCTGTTTCGAATGTCATAATTTGAATTTTGCCTTTATTTGTTTTGTTGGCAACTTTTCTCCTCTGTCTATCTCTAAATAACTCAGTCAAAAATTAATCTAGTTCTAAAAAGAAAATGTGTATTTAGAGGAGGGAGGCCAGAATAATTATGGTAAGGAGTGCAGCATGTGGCTGTGTGTATGCACTTTGTGCTTTGATCTCATCTTCTTAGTTATAAGATTGTGCTCCTCCCGAACTTTCATTAGGAACATTTTGTTTTATTCACCTGGTCTAATCTAGTCACTCGAAGAGCTCCTAAGTATTTATTTATTTTCCATAATTGAAAAAAAAACACACATTAAAATGCGACGATTGGCTTGAGTTTTTTACGGCACCTACACTGGTATGCAGTTTTTCTATGCTGTACTGATCATTAAAGTGAGTGAATAATCATGTAAAACATGTTAAAGAGGTTGCTGAAGCCTCTGGTTGAAGAAAATGCATGGGGTGAATCACTGGCTGACTCTTTAGATGGGGAATCCACAATATGATTCACTGATCAAACTAACTGCTCCCTTTGTGCTCTCTCAGCCACCGTTTGCCTCTCTTACTTGCACACTCTTTTTGGAGTTGTGTAGTTTACTGTACATTGTGGCCGAGGTCATAAGGGTTGAAAAATAAAAAAAAACACCCTGTCATGAAACACAGTCTACATTTCACATTTCACTATCTGTAATTTTAAAGCTACAGATAAGTTCATTTTAACATCTGACTTTTTTTCCTAAATGGAAAAGATGTTCTCTATCAGTTTCTCTGGCTGATGAGGTCAGTCTTACCTAGTATAATACTTTCCATCATAACACAACACAGTCACTGCTTTGAAAATAGAACAAAAATATATATCAACAGGATCTCACCTACAATGGAATTACATTTTATAGCTCCTATTTTAGGAAATGGGTTAATTTTTTTTTTAACTTTTGCAATTTTGCAACTCTGTTCATTTCTAAATGCAGTTTAAAATGTTAGTTTATTTGATTTGTTTTGTTTTTTTGTTTTTTTTTTACAATATACATTTAAGTAAAATGCACAACATTTTTAAAACTATTCCAGAATTGGTAAAAGTATTGCAAATTTTGCTTAAATTAAGATGTCACTCAGTAGGGCTAACTTGTGTGGGAACAAATGAGTGTATTCCCCTTAAGTTAAAAGAAAAAAAAAATAGTTTGATCCAGTAACCATTTAGTCAGAATGTGACAGCCATCTTGAAAGTGCCTTGGTTAACGGTCAGCCAGTGTAGCGGCTAGTCCAGTGATTCACAGTCTTGGGGCAGTACCGTCAAATAATATAATTTACCCCAGCTCAGAGTTTTGCTGTCGGCAAGCTCTCAGACTCAGACCCTGTATATTATATGTTAATAAGGGATGGCCCCTTCCACTCATCCACAGAGGATCCCCTTTTTAAAGACTCTTAGCTGAGACTCTAAGCATTGTGCGAAAGAGATCGAGATGAATCATGCTTTCTTACATGTGGGGAAAGACGATGTTGAAACCTCTCAAGTCAGTTGCTGCTATATTGCGATATATTGCACAGTAACTTCCCGTATTTCACTGAGTCAGATGCGTTGCTAATATCGACAGAACTCAGGTCTCAGTTTAGACATTTACTCCCTCAATTTGTTGTTGAGATTTGTACTTTGTGCTGTGTTATATTATATAACTGCATATAGTGCGTAGCTGTAATGGGAATGGAACGACTTGTAAATCCAGAATTTTGTGAGGTGACTTGCTTTCCAAACTGGTCCAAACGTTAAACAAAGAGAGCATGCATTGAAACTGCTGCGTGTATGTGTGTGTTTGAATGAACATGGGAAACTACAGTGTGCTTTTGTGTCACACAAAATGGAAAAAGTGAGAAAAGAAAACTTTTGATCTAGGAGGAGACAGGAAAATAACGTTTTAAAATAGGAAAGTCCTCTTCAAAGTAGAGTAAATACCGTGGCAGATGACTTATTAGACTTCTCTAAAAAAACGGTACCCTTAAAAATCTGCCAATACCACAGGCACACCACAGACGCTGATTAAATAGCTGTCTGGATTTATTGACTGACTGTGTACTGACATACTTTTTTTTTTGCTTTTCTTTTTTTCCCCCTCTCTTTACCAGATGTTTAAGTGTGCTTGTTTAATGCTCCATGGCAATGGCTAAATTAAACCATATTGTGCCATTAAATCCAAATTTAAAATAACGTTTATTTTATTATTGCTTTTAAAAACATCTTCAAAAGTTAGTCGTTTATGGCACATTTAGTGGAATTTGCACTATAATTCATTTATTTTGTTTAATATGCCTTAAACACCTTTGATGAGAGTTGCAGATTATTGTATAAAGTGTGCAGAGGATGGTGACATTTATATTTACTCAGTATGTTTCAATTGTATCAATCTACTACAATGTGTGTGAGGTTGTGCAGTGTGTGTGAGTGAGATTGTTAGATTGTTTGTGCGGCGTGAGAGGCAGACAGCACGTCGAGTGGCTTTTAAAGCAGAACTCGCAATCAGCCCAGTGCAGGTCTGCATGTGTGAAGTGTGTTCATGCAAGAGGAAGAGCCGCCTACGCCAACAGGATGATCTGTGACAGCGGCTGGGCATTTGAAACACAACACACACACTCAGACATGCAACTTTCACACAAACCCATCACAAAATAATAACATCCACCACATGAGAAATGTACCAAAACAGCGCTAAACTTCAAACACACAAAATAACTGTGAATAGTATAAACCTAATCAACATGAATAAAAACACTAATAAAAGACTGTGCACAAAGCAACATAAGATATAATCTTCAGTAAAAACGAATAACTACAATACTTATGCAAATGTGGCACGTGTAAACTGAATGATACAGTATACTAATGTGATGGCGCTATAGTTAGTTCTCGTGACATTTAGATTTTTTTTAAACTCCAAAGAGTCGTGTGTAAGCAATCACAAACAGTAGCGTTGCATACTAATGCACACCACACAACTGCTTTAAATACTCACCCTACACAAGGACTATTTATAATAGCAGATGCTCATTATTTCGATTTATCGAGCAGATCAGCATTGTCCCTTACATGGTGTTCTACCGCTTATTTTGTTACAGCCTCTGCCATAGTTCACATTTAAATGCACATATTCTTTAATTTACCTTTCATGCTATTTTTATCACCATGCCCAGCTCTCTGCCTTTTGATCCCTTTACCAAATATTATATATGTCTACTGTCCTGTTTAGGCAATATTCGTTCACTATGACTGAGCTCACCTTTTTTTTTTTTTTTTGGTTCTGTTGGAAAATGTGGTGAAACATGGTCCATCCCAGTCAGTCATGGTTTGTCTGGATAAGGAATGCAGGGATTATTAACTTGCTTGCAGAGGCAGGCTCCCAAATGAATGATACCTGAGGCCCACTTCAACAGTCAAACCTGTTTATCTGCTCCTCGGCTTTTCCCTCAGATTTGTCATCACCTTTTATAGATGTTTTTTACTCCGATGACAAGCTTGGAAATCTGGTGATTGAATGTTGTGGTGAGTGTGTCAAAACTCGCCATCTCTCCTAAGGAACAATCTTTTTTTCCATAAGGTAATGAACCGTCTTTGCCTAGTTAGTTTTCTCTCTCTCTCTCTCTGTTGTTTTTTTTCTCCATATATAGAGGATGAACTTTTGTATTATGATTGTCATTGCCTGATTATGTCATGGCAGCAATATCGCCGTGCTTGCTAAAACAAGATGTTATATGCTATATGAGAAAGTCCACTATCCAGTAGAACATGTGGAGATATGGTCACATTTCCATTGCATTAATCAGAACCCTGCTGGGACAAACTGCTGCTTGCTTAACGTCAGTCTCGCTGCCTGCTAAAGTAATTACCACACTTGCACCACTGTCTTCTGGGATGGAACATGTGTTTTAACAATGGATCAATTTTATACAGGCATTTCATAGTGCTCTAAAAGCCCAAGCCAAACAGGCGAGAGGAAACGTAATCAAAGGCCATTAAACTCATAATGAACTGATGCAACTGCCTGCAATAAAGCCTAGGAGTAAGAGAAACGGAGGATGGTTTTATAGCCTGTGTTGTGGTCATCTTAATAAGACTGCTGCTGTCAGAACTTACACACACAGACCCACATTCGCACACAACTGTTTTCTGAGTAGTCACATACCAAAGTTATATTTTTCAACACCCTTTTACTTGTCTTTTATTTCTATCAGCCCTTAAGGATGACGTCTGTACTCGACTTTACATAGCTCAACACTGCCTTTCAGTGGTTAGGTGTAGAAATTATTTTTAAAATCATCAGTATGACCTTCTTTTTTTTTTCTTTGAGAAATGAATGCTTCTATTTAGAAAGAACATGTTCTATTTCAAATAATGCATCTGAGTTTACTAAAAAATGTTAAGAAATGTTTCTTGAGCCGCACCAGATCAGCATAGAATGATTTATTATCATAAAGACTGGAGCAGTGATGCTAAAAATTCAGCTTTGACATCAGAAATAAATGACATTAAGAGTTCAAATGAAAAGTTTAAATTGTAATAATATTTTACAGCCTTAGTAGTGAGACGTCTTTTTTAAAAAACAAAACAAAAATCTTACCAACCCCAAACTATTGAACAGTAGTGTACCTCCTGCCATATCAGTCTTTGAAATACAGTCTTTTTTACTTTCTTTTTCACTAAATGTAAATAATGTCTTTTTTTGTGTCTTTCAGTGAATGAGATCATAGGCAGAGACATGTCTCAGGCCCCAGGGGCTCATGGGGGCTCTCCATCTGCACACAGTCAGTCCTAACCCACAACACGCCATGTCAGACTCGACAGATACTCTTCACAGGACTCCAGAGCTTGTCGGCGAGATTTCACCCAGAGTTTTACCCCAATAGGCTAAAAACCACCTTCCCCAGCGTGGATCCTGAAGCAATTTAAACAACTGATATTACTTACTCTTGATTCATGAACACAGCTATGCACTATATGCAAAATCAGGTGTACTTTACACATGTGCAGACGTGGTTGAGTGGGTAAACTTGGATTAATTCTCTTGGAAAAAAAAAAACCAATAATTCAGGGCTCTCTGACAGCATGATGTATTATTATTTGCGGCTTGCAGATTCACCCCTCAGATTGGCTAGCTATGCAGTCGAGCACCCTCATCCCTGACCGGAATATGCAGCAATTTTACAGTCACCTTAGTGGGATAGCCAAGGGCTGCTCGAACCGTGATAGATGCCCACGTTTCGCCTTCTTACCAGCGGAAACGCCGCCTTTTCCAGTACACATTCTCTCAGTGCTGCCCTCTAGTGGACGGGCCCTCAGGCGCTGTAGTAATAATATGCAACATTCCACATGTCTAGTAACCTTTATGAGCTGTGTAGATAATGTTTAATGATTGGCCCATTTCCTCTTCAGGTTGAACAAATGCCTTATATAGTAGCTGTGATCGTTAACAGATTTTCTGCTGAGAATTTATATTAGTTTTTTCTTCTTTCTTTTTTTTTAAATGAGGACATGGTTAAATCCAGCGTGTGTATTTTATACTTAGAAGTAGCTGAGCTTCATCTTGTGTTCTGGAATGCTGTGAATTGTGTTAGTCCAATCTTACTTTCACAGTGCTGTGCTTTAAAAGTCAAAGGAATTGTTCTCAGACTCTTAAGATAACACGTTTTGTACAGTTGATGGGAAGATGAACTCATGACCCTAGACCAAAAGGTCTGAAGAGAATCAAGTCCACATATATATACCAGTGTGTATATATATATATATATATATATATATATATATATATATATATATACACAGCCAAGCCCTAAATTATTCATACCCCTGTCAAATTCTGACTTATTTTAGTTTTTTCTTGATTAGAAATGACACAGGCGTCTTCCAGAAGATAATATGACGATGTACAAGAGGTATCATTGTGGAAAAAATGATTACTTATCTTTTATTTACATTTGAAAAAAAAGTGGCATGTCCAAAACGATTCATACCTGTCTCAATACTCAATGGAAAAGCCTTTATTGGCTATTTCAGCAATCAAATGCTTGCTATAATTGCTGACCAGCTTTTTGCATGTCTCCACTGGTATTTTTGGCCATTCATCTTTAGCGATGAGCTCTAACTCTTTCAGGTCGGAGGGTCTCCTTGCCATCACCCTGATCTTTACTCCCTCCACAGATTCTCAATGGGATTTATTTCAGGGTTGGGCCACTGCAAAATGTGAATGGTTTTGTCTGCTAACCATTTCTTCACCACTTTTGCTGTGTGTTTTGGGTCATTGTGGTGCTGAAATGTTCATTGTTTCCACCTAATTTTCTCTGCAGACTGCCTGATGTTGTTGAGAATTTTGATGTATTGCTCAAAGGCTTCTCCTTTTTTACGCCAAATGAAGGCTACATCATTGTGGCAAAACAATTCAATTTAATTTCATCAGACCATAAAACATAAGACCAGAAGTCTTCTTCTCTGTCCAGATGAGCATTTGCAAAGGCCGAGCGGGTTTTTGTGTGACTAAAGCCCAATTTATTCTTCTGTGTCGACCGCTGTAGCTACAGCATAGGCTGTGTGTAGCGCGCGTACCCTGACGTGCACCTCTCCAAAAATGTAACAACGATCAATTCTCTGTGGACGCAAGCACTGTGATTGGTTTGCTAGAACCGCTCCCTCAGGTTTCACATGTTCCCTCTGGGGGCATCAACGCGGAAAAAAACACAGAAGTATAAATTTAAACCAACGTGTAGTCTACAGAGTAGAGGCTCCGGCGTAGGTCCGACACAGAAGTATAAAGAACCCAGCGGAGTGCAGTGTCCGTACTGTCTGCCATGAGATGTTGCCACCAGCAGAGCCCAGATTTATCAGGACGGCCTTGGTGGTGATCCTTGGATTCTTTACTCTACCTTTTTATCTCACTATCCTCCTGGCCAGCACAGATGTCACTTTTGGCTTCCGACCACGAACCTCTGATTTTTTTTCATATTGTGGAACGTCTTGTATTTTTTAATAATACTTTGCACTGTAGTCACGGGAACTTCAAAACATTTAGATATGTTCTTATAGCCCATTCCTGACTTGTGAGCAGCTACAATGCGCAGCTGCAGGTCCTCAGTGAGCTCCTTTGTCTTGGCCATGACTGTCCTCAAACCAACAGCAGAGAGTTTCTGTTTTTCACCTGCTGTTGATTAAAACAACTATTCCCAATGAATCGGGGTAATTGGGATGCTTTTGAACAGCTTGAACTGTTTGGAAAGGTATAGATCTTTGGATTTCCCCATAGACTGTGACAGTTTGCAAAGAGTATAAATTATTTTGGACATGCTATTTTTTGTTCAAATGTCAATAAAAGATGAGTTGTCATTTTTTCCACAATTATTCCTCTTGTACATCGTCTTATTATCTTCTAGATATGCCTGTGTCATTTCTAATCAAGAAAAAACTTGCTGGTTAAATAAAAGTACGAATTTAAGTCAGAATTTGCCAGGGGTATGAATAATTTTGGGCTTGACTATTATACTTGACTATGACTATATATATGTATATATGTTGACTATGCTGATACTTGCTTTGTGCCTTTGATCAAAGGAAAAATTATGAAAAAACATAGGTTTGATGTCGGGGAATAACCTTTTTTTCTCTTTTTGTGTGTAATAAAAGGTTGTGTCCTGACAATCAACAAGTGAATTATCTGTTACTACAGAGGGACTTGCAAGCTTCTCTCAGTTTGTGTCCCTTCTGTATTCTAGGACTTTTCATAAAGGTTGAAAATCAAACCAGCGTCCAAACCTATCAGCCCGCTCATAATTTGCTCTCATGTGGACAAAAACTATTTAGGCAGGTTTCCTCTGTACTTCACTTTTTGGGACACATACGACGGACACTGCCAGAGCAGATGCCGTTTGATGCTAACAAATCTATGAATTTGTATTGGTTTCTTGCCTTAAAATTTTGATTTGGAGATTACAGTTGTTTTTTCAACTGTTTTTTTTTTTTTTTTTTTCATGAAAACTGGCACAATTCAAGTAAGATTTTTTTCTTATCTTTTTCAGTCTTTGGGAGACAGACAGCTGTATCCATGACTGTTAATTATGTTTGAAAGAGAAAATAACTGCTATGCACTATAAACCTGCCTTTTGCCTATAAGAAAAAAAGGAAAAAAGAAAACCTTGATGCCTCTAGACTAGATGCTGTAGAGATGCTTCTTCATAGAGTAGTATGCCAGACAAGAGTTCTGTGTTGAGATGTGTCTATTCATGCACAGAGCAAGCGTCTTAACGGTTTTGTGTGTATGCGCTTCTGTCAGTTTGTATCCAATGAATTGTAAATATTTGTTTTTGTATCTTTAAAAAAAACTTCAAATTTAAATGGTGGAAAAGCACACTGATACACAAGGCTATGCAAAGATGATGGTGTGACATTTTCAAACATACAAATAGCAGGTTCGCTTGTTATTCTTGCATCTATACTGTATGTAAGTATATATATTTTGTTGTATGTGAACCCTTACATATATTGACAGGTATTTTTAATGCCACTTTTGACTATTTAATTTAAACTATCAAATCTACATAGGAAAGCCTTAACTTGTGTTAAAATTCAGTTTTAGAGAATGTGTGTCATGGTTTGAGTTTGATTTAGAAATAGTGTTTTTGAGAATCAAGACAGAAAAACAATCAAACAAACTGAGGGGGAGTTCTGGGATGAAGCAGGGTCCCATGATTTGCACCTATTTTCACTCTTTAGAAACCAAAGATGGAACAATGTGTTCCCATTTTACATGCAGATGACAACACAGACACCAGAACTCTATTTTTGATACTTTGAAATGGATGTCATTCCTAAAGTTTGGGTTGCTTGGATGGTTTGTAAAATAAAAGTACAGGTTCAGTTAATGTTTACGGAGCCTTGTATTGTTGTTTCATGTACATTTTGTATTTAACATTTTGTAATTTTTAAGACTGCAGTGCTTTTTGAAATTATTCAAAGGGAACACCGTGCGGCATATGCTCTTCTGAGGTAGTGTATCAATAAAAAGAATAAATGCCCAAATGTCTCTTATCGTGTCAATCTGTCATTGTGACCCGAATTCTGCATGCATCAAAAATGACATTTGTGTTCTGCAGAGAGGACCATCTCGTTATTTTAGCTGTACAAAAATGGTCTTGACATTGCAAACTGTTATTTGTTATCATATTTTAATTTATTATCGTAATCATAAACGCGCTAGTTTGTAGTACAATGTATCAACATGTTCAGTCATGGTCATCAAAATAAAGAAAGAGGTGAAAATTAAATAATAATTAAAAAAATATAAAGAGAGAGAGAGAAAGAACGTGAGGGTAAGATATTAATCATATATGAAGATGAAGGTATTACACGTTTAGGAATGAGGCGATGTCACTTCCGATTGTAACATTTATTTATCTGTATAAAACAAGGAAAATCATTATTCAAACAATGCATTCAAACAATAAATCGACTTACGAAAAACTTTAAGCACTGAATAATATTATATTATATAAAGTAATCAAATATACAATAGCCTACATGGTTTTCACTATAAATTCAACATTCATTCTTGTTAATTTTGCAAAAGTAATTCAGTCAAATACAGTAACGTTAAATTACTTTCTTTCTGATGTTTAATTAACATTATTGACACACATGGCGACAGCATCTTTATTAACAGCGTCTGTCACGTTGCAAGTGCAACCCGGTATCACGACAAGACGTGAAATAATCACGTTGGTCCACTTTGGAAAACGTGTAGATGTCACGGTTTAAGTTAACCCCCTCAAACGTGAAACTTACACGTTTGACCTATTCTACACGCAATCGCCGCTGCCATAACGACCTATTGGTTTTCATTAAACCGAGAAAAAATGGAATTTTGTTTTATTGACGATCACTGAGAAATGTTCTATTAGCCTAATTAAAATACAAAAATGTATTATTTTCAAGGTGAAAATGATTCATTTGCCTTGATCCACGCCGAAAAAAAAGTCAAAATGTCACGTTTTAATGAAGTAGCTAGCCAAATGAGTAAAACGTCTATTTTTCCGGCGTCCCCCAGCTCCTCGTTTAAGCAAAAGGTTCGCTAAAACAACGCATTACATCGACGTTAAACCACGTTAACCGTGTTAACCATAACCTTTTAAATACTCGACCTACCGTTGCTTAGCAACGGGAAGAAACTCCTGTAACTTCAGTGCCGGTGTCGTGCCAAGGTACTTACCCCTGAAAGGAAGTGTATCCCCGGTCGCGGGAGCGCGCACGCATTCAGCAGGAGGTGTGTCATTACTTTGTCCAAGATGAATTAAACTATAACACGTGAATTGTTTAAGTCATCGTTTTACTGTTGTTGTTGTTTTGTTTTTTTTTATCGACGAGGTTTAGCAAAGACAGATATCATGTGGCCCATCAAAAACTAATTATTTTGTGGGCAAACGATCTAGCTTCATGCACGGAATGGATCAATTCTCACGAGAATGTACTGAAAAACTAAGACGACCATATCGTTTCACAAGCAAACAGCCCGTGGATATAAAATTGTTCTTACCCCCCCCCCCCTCCTCCTCCTTCCATGGTGAATTATTACCAAAATCATTCAATAATGCATTGCACTTATACATAGGCAAACAACGATTTTACCGATGATGGCCTATCATCAAGTGTTTTATTTTATGAATACTGTACATCATGTCTAATAACAGCAGTGAATATGAACACATTTCCTATTTCCTGACTAAAGTTATAGTGGGATACAGATTTTTTCAGACCGTATTTTCGACCTGCCAAAATATGTACCCCCCCCCTAAAATCTACAGGTGATGGCCTATCATCTAGTGTTTTATTTTATGAATACTGTACATCATGTCTAATAACAGCAGTGAATATGAACACATTTCTTGTTTTCTGACAAAAGTTATAGTGGGATACAGATTTTTTCAGACCGTATTTTCGACCTGCCAAAATATGTATCCCCCCCCCCTAAAATCTACAGGTGATGGCCTATCATCTAGTGTTTTATTTTATGAATACTGTACATCATGTCTAATAACAGCAGTGAATATGAACACATTTCCTATTTCCTGACTAAAGTTATAGTGGGATACAGATTTTTTCAGACCGTATTTTCGACCTGCCAAAATATGTATCCCCCCCCCTAAAATCTACAGGTGATGGCCTATAATCTAGTGTTTTATTTTATGAATACTGTACATCATGTCAAATAACAGCAGTGAATATGAACACATTTCCTATTTCCTGACTAAAGTTATAGTGGGATACAGATTTTTTCAGACCGTATTTTCGACCTGCCAAAATATGTATCCCCCCCCCCAAAATCTACAGGTGATGGCCTATCATCTAGTGTTTTATTTTATGAATACTGTACATCATGTCTAATAACAGCAGTGAATATGAACACATTTCTTGTTTTCTGACAAAAGTTATAGTGGGATACAGATTTTTTCAGACCGTATTTTCGACCTGCCAAAATATGTACCCCCCCCCTAAAATCTACAGGTGATGGCCTATCATCTAGTGTTTTATTTTATGAATACTGTACATCATGTCTAATAACAGCAGTGAATATGAACACATTTCCTATTTCCTGACTAAAGTTATAGTGGGATACAGATTTTTTCAGACCGTATTTTCGACCTGCCAAAATATGTATCCCCCCCCCTAAAATCTACAGGTGATGGCCTATAATCTAGTGTTTTATTTTATGAATACTGTACATCATGTCTAATAACAGCAGTGAATATGAACACATTTCCTTTTTCCTGACTAAAGTTATAGTGGGATACAGATTTTTTCAGACCGTATTTTCGACCTGCCAAAATATGTATCCCCCCCCTAAAATCTACAGGTGATGGCCTATCATCTAGTGTTTTATTTTATGAATACTGTACATCATGTCTAATAACAGCAGTGAATATGAACACATTTCCTTTTTCCTGACTAAAGTTATAGTGGGATACAGATTTTTTCAGACCGTATTTTCGACCTGCCAAAATATGTATCCCCCCCCCTAAAATCTACAGGTGATGGCCTATAATCTAGTGTTTTATTTTATGAATACTGTACATCATGTCTAATAACAGCAGTGAATATGAACACATTTCCTTTTTCCTGACTAAAGTTATAGTGGGATACAGATTTTTTCAGACCGTATTTTCGACCTGCCAAAATATGTATCCCCCCCCTAAAATCTACAGGTGATGGCCTATCATCTAGTGTTTTATTTTATGAATACTGTACATCATGTCTAATAACAGCAGTGAATATGAACACATTTCTTGTTTTCTGACAAAAGTTATAGTGGGATACAGATTTTTTCAGACCGTATTTTCGACCTGCCAAAATATGTACCCCCCCCCTAAAATCTACAGGTGATGGCCTATCATCTAGTGTTTTATTTTATGAATACTGTACATCATGTCTAATAACAGCAGTGAATATGAACACATTTCCTATTTCCTGACTAAAGTTATAGTGGGATACAGATTTTTTCAGACCGTATTTTCGACCTGCCAAAATATGTACCCCCCCCCTAAAATCTACAGGTGATGGCCTATCATCTAGTGTTTTATTTTATGAATACTGTACATCATGTCTAATAACAGCAGTGAATATGAACACATTTCCTATTTCCTGACTAAAGTTATAGTGGGATACAGATTTTTTCAGACCGTATTTTCGACCTGCCAAAATATGTATCCCCCCCCCCTAAAATCTACAGGTGATGGCCTATCATCTAGTGTTTTATTTTATGAATACTGTACATCATGTCTAATAACAGCAGTGAATATGAACACATTTCCTATTTCCTGACTAAAGTTATAGTGGGATACAGATTTTTTCAGACCGTATTTTCGACCTGCCAAAATATGTACCCCCCCCCTAAAATCTACAGGTGATGGCCTATCATCTAGTGTTTTATTTTATGAATACTGTACATCATGTCTAATAACAGCAGTGAATATGAACACATTTCCTATTTCCTGACTAAAGTTATAGTGGGATACAGATTTTTTCAGACCGTATTTTCGACCTGCCAAAATATGTATCCCCCCCCTAAAATCTACAGGTGATGGCCTATCATCTAGTGTTTTATTTTATGAATACTGTACATCATGTCTAATAACAGCAGTGAATATGAACACATTTCTTGTTTTCTGACAAAAGTTATAGTGGGATACAGATTTTTTCAGACCGTATTTTCGACCTGCCAAAATATGTATCCCCCCCCTAAAATCTACAGGTGATGGCCTATCATCTAGTGTTTTATTTTATGAATACTGTACATCATGTCTAATAACAGCAGTGAATATGAACACATTTCCTATTTCCTGACTAAAGTTATAGTGGGATACAGATTTTTTCAGACCGTATTTTCGACCTGCCAAAATATGTATCCCCCCCCTAAAATCTACAGGTGATGGCCTATCATCTAGTGTTTTATTTTATGAATACTGTACATCATGTCTAATAACAGCAGTGAATATGAACACATTTCTTGTTTTCTGACAAAAGTTATAGTGGGATACAGATTTTTTCAGACCGTATTTTCGACCTGCCAAAATATGTATCCCCCCCCCCTAAAATCTACAGGTGATGGCCTATCATCTAGTGTTTTATTTTATGAATACTGTACATCATGTCTAATAACAGCAGTGAATATGAACACATTTCTTGTTTTCTGACTAAAGTTATAGTGGGATACAGATTTTTTCAGACCGTATTTTCGACCTGCCAAAATATGTATCCCCCCCCCCCAAAATCTACAGGTGATGGCCTATCATCTAGTGTTTTATTTTATGAATACTGTACATCATGTCTAATAACAGCAGTGAATATGAACACATTTCTTGTTTTCTGACAAAAGTTATAGTGGGATACAGATTTTTTCAGACCGTATTTTCGACCTGCCAAAATATGTACCCCCCCCCCCCTAAAATCTACAGGTGATGGCCTATCATCTAGTGTTTTATTTTATGAATACTGTACATCATGTCAAATAACAGCAGTGAATATG